GAATATTTTTTATAAATTTTTCCAAAGACCTACATTATCATATATTTTTTTAAAAAAACAAAACTGTACTTCAAATTCATTAATCGTTAATTCTAAATCTGTTAAATTCAAAACACGTAATCAAACACAATTCAACAGGACAAACAAAAATATAATAATGTTTGTATTAAAAAACATTTTTCAACTTGTCCAATTTTCCTTTAAAATACCTTTATTAATAATATTGTGAATATTTTTTGATATATTACCTTCATGCTTGGAAAACCAATGCCAACCAAAAAATTAGCCATCCAATTGACAAGAACTGCAATGGACATAGCAGCAGGTCTAGGGCCTTGCGAAAACAACTCTGCTGTAATCATCCAAGGAATGGATCCAGGTCCAACAGCAAAGAATACCACGAAGCTAAGCGTAGACACAACTGACAGATAGGACATCCAGTCGATCATTTCCTGTACGTAACCAAAAAACTCCTATCAGGCAGTAGAATCAAGTTCTTCTTTCCTGAGCAGCCGGAGGAGCCTCAGGATAACCAAAATTACAGATAATTTTATGAAAAACTTAGAAAAGAGAGAGAGAGAGAGAGAGAGAGAGAAAAAAAAATGTAACAAATTATTTTTCTCATGCAGTGTGCGCAGCCCAATCCTGTGTAACACGTGTTCTGCTCTCTGTCGTGATTATCATGAAATATTTTCTTTCTTTTTTCTCAATAGTGAAATATGTGCTTCGTTTATTTTACAATACATTATTTGGTTTTGTTTTTGTTGTTGTTTGATTTTTTTTTCTTTGTTATAAGCAGCAAAGCATAATTTTTGCTATAATTGAGAGATAAAAGGAGTGCCAGGATGATAAAAGACCTCGATACAATGTCTAATGTAAAATAGAATATTATGTGAATTTGCTTTATAATATATTTTATGAATTTATTCTTATTAGAAAAAAAATAATCTTTAATAGGGTGTCTTCATTAATACGAACAATGAATAAATCATTTTTCCTTGCAGGAAATGAGAAAATATTTGTGCTACTTGTATTTTAATATGTGCTTATTATAATAAATTATTCGAATCCTGGTCGTTTATTTCTATAAAAATGAGAATGATCATATAGAAAAGTTTCGATTTATGCATATACTTTTTTTTGAAGAAATGAATATAATATTAAAAAACATGAACAACAGGGTTGAGCCAAGAACAAAGTAGGCTAATATAATAGAAAGTGAATATCTCCTCCAGACTGTCACGAAAGAGGTCATTAGTGGATGAAAGGGAAAGGGAATTTGGATTATAAAGAAGCTTTTTATAATTATACAAAAATCAATCGAATAATGTAAAGTAACGTGCGCTACACTAAATACAACATTTCACAAACTCCTCTTAAATACATTACTACATAATTTAATCATCTCTCGAATTATTTTTCAATTGTTCATTAAAGACAAATAATATTTTTTTTTATTTTTTTTTATATAACGTTCAATTAGAGCTTTTATTTAATTTGAAGTTCAAAGTTTTTGTTGATCGAGATAGAAAATATTGTACATGAAATTTATTATTCACGTTTACGTTTTTAAAGTATATTAATCGTTGTATGAAAAAGGAGTAATGTTTGTTAAATTAAAAAAAAGAAAGAGGAAAAATAAAGAAAGTATTAGTATAAGCGCAAATGATAAATAATACATGCAGGTATGTGGATACTTATTAGTTATATGAATGGCTTGGGAATAAATTAAAATGAATCCTTTAAATGATACAGATTCATATTAATATAATAGCGATAGTTCTCACTGTTGGTGCAGTGCTGCACTCCAGCTGTGAACAAAGTGTTTAAGTACACCTTTTTTCTTTTTTTTCTTTTCTTTTTTTTTTCTTTTCTTTTTTTTTTCAAAGGTATACAGAGAAGTGAGAGAAAGCACAAAAAAGATAGCTATTTACACACAAATCACGGTTTTTATAATGTGATATATTAATTATGGCTTGATATTATTTTATTTCATAATATACACACACACACACACACACACACGCGCGATTAATTTTTAAAAAGAATTTCATTTTAATTATATATGAAATATTCTAAATATGAATTTTTTTCAATCGAATTTATTCGTTCATGTGTTCTACCTTTGTTAATATATGCACAAAGAAATCACCAAATTATTTCTTCGAGTTTTAATTTTGTTTTAACTATATATATATAGTATAACTATATATAGATATTATACAATTACATATATATATATATGTATATACATATATGTAAATTTTGTATAGCTTTTGAGGAAAAAATAAATAAAATTAGTTGCTCACCTTTATTAAAAACGAAATTGTGATGAATATTGAAAAGATAAACATGCCACCAAGACCGTACAAATGTAAAGTACGTCTTCCTGTCCTATCCATAAGTGGGATCGAGACTAACGTCATACCAACCATAATGGCTCCTATGCCTATGGTTGCAAATTTAGCACTTTCCTCTGTCAAACCCGAACTGGTGAACAAACTCGTAGAATAATAAAACACCTGTTAATAATTAATTATAGATTATATTGTATCGAGATCATTGGATAATGTGAAACAATTATATTGATTAGATTGATATCATTTACTTACGGCATTAATACCGGACAACTGTTGTGAAAGTTGCATAACCACACCAATTACAAGAGGTGCTCTTAATGTTGGACTACATATAAGTTCTGTCATAGATATCGTAGATTCTGCTTGTTGAGCTCTTTCCTCTGCTCTCATTTCTTCAATATCTTCCTCTACTTGATTACTAGCTCTTAATCTTCTCAATGCTTTTCTCGCTTCTTCTTCCCATTGTTTAGTAATGAGTAAATATCTATAACAACAACAACAAACGAATAATATTTATAGAATGAACATCAAAATCTGTTCGTGAGTATTTTTTCAATTAAATATTACCAAAGTAAATTTTATTAAAACACAATCCTATTTTATTCGATTGATAACACTATAATATAAATGCACAAAATTTTATACTTATATAATAATGAAATAAAAATACGTGAGATATTTTATTTATCAAACGTATATATATATATATA